TGCTGGCTGTAGCAGCGCTATAGCGCTGCTATAGCGCTGCACAGCAAAAACGCATAAAAAATTGGCACCCTTATAACCACCAAAAAGATTTTGCACACATGGAAGGGAAACGGCGCAAAATGTAATCACGTCGAAAAGTCCTGCATTCCTTCGTGCGGTGTGCTAGTGCTTTTCAGCAACATCGAGGAATTTATACCAGAAAGCGCTTTATTTGCACTTCCTTCCTCAATTTAGTTTTCTGACATGGGAACCAGACGATCAACCTGGGCAAATCTTTTGTAATTTTCAGTTTGATTTTGTGGCTACCAGACAGCAACTGAACAGTAGGTTGCTTAAGCCTTTAGATTTTTGTGCGAACGCACGCTTCAATTCCACTATTTTTCATCCGATCGCCACTGCAGTTTTCAAACAGAATGCATTGTGCAATGGAAAAAGCAAAAAATAAAAACGGACTTCTTCTTCCAGCAGTTCAAAATGAGAGTTTGGGAAAAAAAATGGCAGAATTTCTTCGCTGTGACGCTGCTATGATACAGATCATGGTATTCGGTGGTACCTGTGCGCAATTTTCTGAAAACAATAAAATATTTAGTTTCTCCCTTCAAGATATGTATTAAGCTTCGCTATTCTTGATGCATGTATTTACATTTTATACGCATGTGTTTTCAGGGGTCCGAAATAAAAGCTGTTGAGATTAAAAAAGTGTTTTGTACGGCAAAAAAAATCTGCCCAAACGAGGGAGGATTTTCAGAATTAATTTCAGTTTGTTATGCATGCAAATGCATAACCTCAGTTATGCATCTCAGGCGCACTTTATCGCAGGTACATTTCATCTCAGTTTCACTTCATTCTCGAGTTACAACTTAAGCTGAAAGAGTGTAAAAAGAAACGAAACTTTTACGACTGTTTGCTAAAGAATGTAGGATTAGCTTTACATTAACTTGAATCAAACTGCATTTGTGACTTAGTTCCAAAACAAAAAAGCCACGAAAATTTGCTTATTTTAAACTGTTGAAAGCATTAAAAGATTATGACGAAGAAGAATCACCTCACGTATGCTCCAAGCAACCAAGTGCAGAACCACGAACACCCATGGATGCGTCGTCTTTGAAAATGATCAAGGACTGGCAAGTCTGGTGCTTTCCAGCCTGTGTTTACTTTCATAAGAATGCAGAAGATGGGGGTATACAAATTCCCCACTCATCTAGAGTTGGGTACCACACTCTGACTCCCTCTGCAGGCCGAATTAACGCCAGCCACGAGCGTCGATTGCCCATCTGGAAAAATAGTCTTCAAATTCTAGCTTTAATGCTGCCGCACAATTCACAGTAGTGTTTCAAAAGTCATCCCTGAAGTTTTGTACTATTCTGCTCCTCAAACACAGTTTTGAATTTGGACTGATTTTACCACTCAAAAGCGAAGCTACAAACTCAACAAAATTTTGCTATCAACTTCACTTTATAATACATATATCAATCTTACATCAGTCTGTAATCTTGATGCATCTTAACCAGTGAAAACAGGTTGAAATTCGAATCACCATTAGCACAAGTGAACAAAGCTGGCCAGAAACTTGACTAGTTTATAAATATCAAATGTACCGAAAAACAGTCATAGCCTTTATGCGGCCGACTTTTCACCTAACGGGCCTCCAGCCACAGCACGTTCACCGATATCAGTAAGTTAAGTGTATCTTTAGTGAGGTAATGCAATTTCAGTTCAGCGTGAGCGGTATTATCTAGGCAGTGTGTGCGAGAATTAGCTGGTTACGTAGCAAGAAAAAGAGATTATAAAAGGGACAAAGCCGACTATGAATGGGTACCCGTACAGTGTTAAACACAGGAAAGAATGCCAGTATGTTAAAGCGTCCGCTTGAACGGCTGCGTGAAACTAACTGAATAAGAGAGGAGAATTAGGTTGCCAATTGCATCAGTAACGAGGATAAACGGGAGAAAGAAACAATATCCACTGAAAGTGTCAGAGCATCACCAAGTATAATGATCAGCCGCAACTCAGTGCATTTGTGCCAAAAACGCGTCGTACACGTTAAAATACTCTGAAATTTGGACTGATTTAAGCGATGCATTGGAACAGTTATTGTGACGTCAAAATACAAAATTTGGAATGACATTGGTATTGTCAGGTCTTTTCAATTAATATGTAGAAAAATCTGAAAAACTCTTTAGTATTTTTGAACATTTGGGTTAATGTTTCTGAAAATTTGCCCAGCTTTGCGCGAGGTGCCTTCGTTTGTTATTAGATGCTGAACATGAGAAAAAGTAAATCATAACGTAGAAAAACAAAGGCATCACATTTTTGGCTTGATCACTTGTGAAGTGATTACCCTTATTTCTGTCAGTTTCTTACAAAAAAGATCTTAAAAGAACCTTTATGCACAGACAAAAACATATCATCAACTGGATTTGAAATCTCTCGCACTCTCCTTATCCCTCACTACCTTTCTCAGATTAAGGTTTGAATTACCCAAAGCATGCAATGTTGCACTTACGCATACATAGCGACATCAAATAAAAAAATTGGGATTTTTAGCAAATTTAGCGGGTGTTTTCGTGAGGGCCACGAATTTTTCTCTATCGCACCCTTTGCGTTTAGAGCAAATTTATGTGCTACAAGCCACAAACAAGAAAGTTACCCGCGTGCTTCTGTGCATCGTAACTTCGGCAACATTCCTACTTGTCATTTTCAAAGATGACACATCCATGGGTGTTTGTGTTTTTGCATCTGGTTGCATGGAGTGTATGTGAGGTGACTCTTTTCCGTCATAATCTTTTAATGCTTGCAACAGTTTTAAATAAGCAGATTTTCGTGGCTTTTTGTTTTAGAACTAAGTCACAAATGCAGTTTGTTTCAAGCTAATGTGAAGCTAATCTTACATTCTTTAGCAAACAGCCGTCAAAGTTCCATTTCTTTTTACGCTCTTTCACCTCACGTTGTAACTTGTAACTCGAGAATGAAGTGAAGCTGAGATGAAATGTACTTGCGATGAAGTGCGCCTGAGATACGCAACTGAGGTTATGTACTTGCATGTATAACAAATCGAAATTAATTCTCAAAATCCCTCCTCGTTTGGGAGATTTTTTTGCCATGCAGAACACTTTTTAAATCTAAACAGCTTTTATTTCGGATCCCCGAAAACACATAAGTATAAAATTTAAATATATACATCAAGAATAGCAAGGCTTAATACATTTCTCGAAAGGGAAAACTAAATATTTTATTGTTTTTAGAAAATCGCGCACAGGTACCATCTAATACCATGACTGGCATCACTCCAGCGTCACTTTAAAGAAATTCTCCCACGCTTTTTCCCATACTTTGATTTTGAATTGCTGAAAAAGAAGTACATTTTTATTTTTTGCTTTTTCCATTGCACAATGTATTCTGTTTGAAAACTGCAGTGGCGATCGGATG